GGATTAATAATAAAGTGCCAATTTATATATAAAAAAAATAAATAAAAAACATCCAGATGTAAAAGTAAAAGGAAGCTGGTTCATGGGACTAAATTTTCGCTCCAAAAGGAAACTCAGTTCAGCAACTTAAATTTATTACAGCATTGAATTTATAAGTGTTTAAAACAAACAGCAACAARGAACAAAAAGTGGCACAAATAAGGAGTTTCCTGTGCTTTAATTAATTAAAGTAACGCAGCAATCTGACACCAGCCAACCCAGAAACTCTACTCTGAACCCAACTAATAATTAACCAGCAGGAAAACTCTAAACTGTGTCCGTTTCATCACTTTTACTGAGAATCCCTGAATTTACATCATGTCTGCTCTGAATGACCTAATCTGAAATATGAGGTAGTCATAAGTTCTGTTCGGATMAATAATCCACAGGAAAATAAATGTGTAGAACATTATGAACACAGTGACAGGACTGCAGAGGGTCACCTCTACAGGGAGGACCGGAGCTAGAGGATGCTGGGGTTGTGGGGGCGAGGGAGAACACACAGGGAGCTACAAACCAATCAGCAGCTACGAGACAGTCRGGACCACGAGGCGTGTCATCCTACCATGTTCACATCGTTCTTGGTTGCGAAAGGAAGCAGCTCCATCTCCGAGGCTGGAGCGGCCGTAATCGCTCCGTCGGGAGGAACCAAACCTCTTCTGTCGATCAGGCTGAGGGACAAAACAGGCCRCTTTGTTACCATGATGATGACAACTTTATGTAGCGAGTTCCCCTGTCGGCGGCGCTCACCTCGGCGGCATGGGGCCACATAATGTCACGCAGCAGTTGGTTACGATGTTGTTGTGACTGTACGGGTTCCCAGAATCCTCTGYGCCTCTTTTACTTGACCAGGACCCCTTAATCTATAAATAAACCTGATGACTAACCCGCACGTGTGATGGTCACCGATTTRTCTTAGTTTGACAGGAGGAGGACTACTTACGTCTTCGTTTGTGGTGAGATTGGAGGCTACTAAGTAGGTATGGAAGCCTGAGAGGCCCAGAATGGACCAGATGGAAAAGAAACAAATGACCAACTCCACCACAGTGAAGGAGTCAAGGTGAAATATTTAGTTCAATCTTCTGTAAAATAATAAAAGAYATTTTCCTCCAAACAGCTGAGCCATTTGGCTGACACTACGACTGAGATTAAACCTAAGAAATGTAGTAAATCTTAAAGGGATCCATGATTAGTTGTAACATTAGACTTTATTTGATTAACATTTATTTTAACTGTAAAATAAAGACTGAAAATATTGTAGGCTGTTTAGTTTTTATCTTTTTTAAACTAAAAGTTAAAAAATATATTATATGGACAGAGCCTGTTAGCTTTAGCGTTAGCCCCAACGCTGAGCTATGTATTAGCTCAGTGCTACACATTCTCCTCTCGTCACTGAGGTCCTCCATCCACATGACAGAGAGGGGAACGCAAAAATGTCTCAGTCTGCAACTGAAAATATGGATGGAGGACCTCAGTTTAGCTTGTTTGTCAAGCTAGCGCTGAGCTAATACATATAAGGCAATATAGCGTCAGCGCTAGTGCAAAAGCTAACAGGCTAAGCTGAGGTTCTTCTTCCATGAAGCAGCTCTGTTGTCCTCCATCCATATTTTCAGTCCCAGGCTGAGTCATTTCTACCTTCTCCTCTCTGTCAACGCTCTCTGGTTTCATTTAAAAGAGTCGATCATCAGATATTGTCCAAGATTAACCTTCAGGATGGATATAGCTCGCTCACACCGAGGACCTATCCACGTCATCATTTACCCAGAATGCTTTGCGTGTAAATAAAATGGCTCCGTCCGTGTTAAAATATATTTTTGAAAATTTACTAAACTAAACAGCTACAGTATTTTTAGACTTTATTTTACAGTTAAAATAAAAGTTTATCAATTAAAGGCTAATGTTACAACTAATCATGGATCCCTTTAAAGAAACGTTGGCTAGACGGCAGAGTTTTCTGCAGAACATGGGATAAATAAAGWGGTTAATGATGTGGCTAAGAGTTTTAAAAAGCCAAATACTCATAAAGACTCATGTTGTACATTTTAATGTGAAAACTGATGCAATAAGYTGTAGGAAATCTCTAAGCGTGTGACCTGACCACAACATAAGGACCAGTGTATAAATACACTACAGATTCAGAGACACTGACTAACACACATGATGCAGTCCATCCATTACTCCCCACACACTTTGTGAATAACTAAACAGCTCTGTAATCATACATTGTTTTTACAATTATCAAACGCCTGAAAAAAATCTGATTTTACTCAAACATTCTGATACTATGAGAAAACAAAACAAAACTGACTCAAAGGATATCTGGCAGGACTCTCCTGAATGGCTTGGACGATGCTTTTRCCTGCTTGAGAACCTGGAGAGACGAATCAGAAACACGAGAACATGACGTCGTCGTCACAAGAGCGTTTCTGAGGTTTTCACGAGGAGGTACTCACGCAGGGTGATGTGCGTGACGACGCAGCCGAATATGAAAGACGTCAGGAAGGACAGCGAGATGATGAAGCTGTAGAAGAAGCGGTAATTGCGTTTTCCCACGCAGTTCCCCACCCATGGGCAGTGGTGATCAAACCGTTCTGATGTAAAGAAAAATTAAATAAATTAAAGTAAAAATAATTGATAAGGAGATGTTTAAAATCAATTTTTAAATGGTTGATACCAATTTTGTATACCTGTTTGTACAAGTCCTCATACTTTTTTTATTATTTGGTTTATCATTGTTTGAAATATAWATATATAAAAAAGCAGATATAAGAATTTTTTCCTTTTCTGCTGCCTTTCATTTTATTCTGTTTTGTATTGTTTTGTTTGTTTTTTAATGAAATGAAAAATATTTGTACAAAATGATCCAATTTTCAGGACTGATACCAATACTATTATTAATACTCCACTGAATGTGTTCGTTTACAATTCAAGAGAAAGGTTGGTCAGTTCTACAATGAAACCTATATAAGTTGAAAGAAAACTTGTTATTTTTATTTATTGTAAATCATGCYGTGTATTTGATTTGATCCAGTCAGARGGTCTGTAGGCCTTTAAGGAAGGAGAACCTGAAAGCTAAGTTTGAGAAAACCTGGCATCAGGAAACATTAGAAAACAGTAAAATATTCCTCACTTTAGATTAAAGTTTGAAACTTTTGGCAACAAAACATGACTCTGCTGATTAGTTCACTTAGTACACATGTACTGTAATTTCATTGTGCTCTCTGCACGATGACAATAAAGGTCTCTCTCTCTAATCTCTAAATTATCTATTAGACTTTTAGTAATAAAGTTTAGTGGTTGTTTTATCACAGATAACACACACAAGAAATTCAAATAAATTTAAAAAACCAGAAAAAATGTTCATATTTTAACAGCTATTCTGGCTTTAAATAGAGCTTCTATAAGGTTTATGTGTGTTTAACAGATATGAGGTTATTTTATAAAAGACACAAACTGATCCAATAATACTGGAAGGAACTGTCACTGGTTAGTAGGGCTGTGTATTGGCAAGAATTTGGCGATACGATACAAATCATGACAGAGGGGTCACGATACGATATATCTCGATATATTGCGATTTTTTTGTCCAAAAATTCTATTAAATAAAAACCTCTTACAGAGGGAAAAATAAAAAACCAAAATTCATTGTCTCAGAAAATTCTAATATTACAGAGACATGCTTTTGATACATTTAGCTGTGTTCTGCTTTGTATGTATTTTATTTTATTTGTTTCATATTTCTTATTTCATCCATGTTTTCAATTATTAGACTAAATTTGACAATAAATAGTTTGAAAATATATWTTTTGCAGCTTTTAGTTTTTAATATTAATTTACAATATGGTCACCCAACACTTATGAATGGCCTCTACCTCAAGAGGTAGAGTAGCCAAATGGCTGGCTCACTGCTGCCAACTAGTGGTCAGAGGCTGAACTACAACATAAAAATGAACGGCTGGCAGGAAAGTTAATTTTAAACCTTAATAAAAAAAATCGATACAGGGCTTTAGAATATCGATACAGTATCAAGAAATGAAATATCGCGATATTTCAGTGTATCGATGTTTTCTTACATCCCTACTGGTTAGGTGTTGATTTATTCAAAGCCAGAATGAACAAGACAAACTACTGACATTTTATACGTCTACAGTAATGACTCTGAGGAAAAAAATGAAACTCGATCCTTTTAAACTGACAAACAAAAGACATTTTGTTCAGGTGCATTTATGCTCAGTGAGAATCGCTGACTGTTTTCTCACTGATCTGGCTGCTTAACAACAAAAAAAAGTCTCTTTTGTTCTCGCTCCGCCCCTAAGAACCCATCCTGTGCACAACTCCCTGGCAAAACAAATTCCTTGAAGGGTATGCATCAAGTATGGTGTGATTAATAGGAACTTCACGGGCGTATTTAAGTGAGAAAGAGACCGCTGTTCGCTGCTCTCATTTCACTTCAGCTGCTCCGCTGAGGAGCAGATGGCTGAGGCTGTTAGAAAACACAGTCGCCTTAATAGTGCTGCAGCACAAGTTAGAAAGTAAGACAAATAAAATTTATCGTTCACCATCTAAACATCCACTTTGCCAACTGTGCTCTGATTGTGTCGTTTCTATTTGCTTTTGACGTGAAGTGGGAGGGAGTTCTCAGTAGTCTAAGTAYAAAATATCTACGCGAATAAGAACGTCTCACGTCTCCTTACCAACGCAGTTGTCACACAGACTGCAGTGGGAGGTCCGAGGAGGGCGGAACATCTTACAAGTGAAGCAGTATTTGAGCTTCACCACCTGCTGGTTGATGAGGATCTCCTTGGTTCGAGGTGGGGGGCGATATGTAGAGGATCCTGAGGTATCTTAAAACGGGGAAACACAAGATAGGCCGCTCTTTAAGWCGCCTCCATTTGAYGCATGYGTTTAAWAGAAAAACTTGTCTGTGAAATTAATACACGTATAAAGTGACGACATCAAGCTACACCTTGCCTTTGTTCTCTTCAGTCATGACAGAGAGAATAAGCTGCTTAGGTTTGTGGTTCAATAACAAACATGTCCTCCATATGGCAAAGCTTTAACCCCATCTGTCCCACAGGAAGAGTGCAGAATGTGAGTTACCTATCTGTCTCTCTATGTCTGCAGCTTCATCTGCTGTGGCCCTGGGTAAGATGCCTGGATCTGTAAAGCTGGTTCTCAGCAGGGAGAGGACTACRAACACGCAGAGCACCCCTCCTATCACAGGTATAAAAACGGTCAAATGCTCCACCAGGAATGGGCAACTGTTGGGGGAAAATATTATTAGGAAACACTGTTTAAGATGCAAAAAGGAAAGGCAATACAGAGCCACTGAACGTGGTGCGTTTACGACCTCTAAAAAGTGTCGAAAACGAGAACGTTTCAAGTTACTCACTCGAATGCAAAGAAAAGGCCACAAGTGACAACAATGAGACCCAGTGTCAGAGGAAGGACGCCGTTCTGCCTGGCTAGGATGAGTCTCCCRTCGCAGAAAAACCTGTTTTTCCCCGGGAACACTTCCCATTTTCTCCGCGGCCGCTGCGCCTTCTTCTCGGTGTGGTTCTGCGCCGACAGCGGCGACACAGACAGCGCCTGTGGATCTATCTGCTGGTACTCACAATTCTTCATTGTGTAAAATGAAGCTGACACTAAAGGCACAAAAAATATATATAAAAAATAAAAACTTTTTTAACCCACTCCTCTTCAGAAGAGACAATCCTCTCACGACTCACTGGACATTTAGCTTCTTCTCCTGTTAGCGTTCAGCTGTCCATCCTGAAGCTAACGTAGCGACAAAAGGTCTTCTTCTCCTTTAGGTCAGTTTGACGAGTTCAGTCGATTCACGAGTTGACGCAAAGCTAACTACCATGTTTGGTAGTTGAATTACAGCCGCAAGTGTTCACAGAAACGTAAATTAACTCGACTTTTTGTAACGAATCGAGCACAACCTGAAAGACAAGAGATCAGGCTGTTTGTCAAGCTAATGTACGTCATTACGTAAAGGTGACGTAAATTCCGCTATTAGCAAATTTGGTCAGCCGCACGGATGAACCTGCTTCAGCTATGAAAACATGGTTGTAATCTGTCTGATTGCCATGCAGATATCTATGAAATAAAAATATTGTTGTTAATCTCTCATACAAGTTTACTGTAGATTATAGAATTGTCCGGATCATGTGAAACTTTTTTGTTCAAATGAATCTCCAAGCTGTCAATCTGAGTCATTTGTTTAACTATAAAGTATGCCACACAACAGGAAGTACCCTTTCACACAGAGAAGAAACAGAACAAAACGTTTGTGCAGCAGAGACAAAAGTAAACTAGCATAGTTTGGATTATCGTTGTACAAAATTATTTTGGGGTTGTTGTCTGGTTTATCAGATTTAGATATTTCACCAAAACATTAAACTTGTGTTTATTTCTCAGGGTGGTTTTATTTATGCACCTGAACTTCAGAGCTGTACAAATACTGTATCTAGCAACCTGAGGCTCTGGGGCCACATGTGGCTCTTTGAAAAGGTGCTCAAACAGAATATTTTGTTTTTTTCATACTYGCAACAGAAAACAATTTGTATGCAAATATGTGACCGCTACTAATACATAAAGTAAAACATGTTAGCTCGTTGGCTTTAATATTTCAACTTCTTTCTATGTTTTGCTCAAATCCATCAGAATTACCTTTAAAGAATTTTAAGAATAATTATTTTAAGAATAAGAATAATTAGAAAAAACATGCCTGAATGGTTCAGTTGTAATAGTTTTTATGAAATTCGCTATAAACTACAGTATTTTTCTTGTTTACACTATATGAACCTGGTCTTTCATTTGTCCTGATGTGTAAAACTAATGATAAATAATAAAATTCACAATATATTTTTTAGTTTTATAAAGTGACCTGCACTGACCATAAAGGTTCCCAAAAAGGCCTCAAAAAGGCCCACGGACCAGCAGTTGATAATCAGAGTTGTTGCCCGTTTTGCGGCCCAAAAAGGCCTCAAAAAGGCCCACGGACCAGCAGTTGATAATCAGAGTTGTTGCTCGTTTTGCGGCTCTGGACACATTTTATTAGTGAGCCAAGGAGCAGAAATGGCTTTTTTAATCGTAAAGTTTGCAGAGCCCTGAATTACACCAATTTAACTCAAAAAGCCTTGTGTAGCGTACAGCCAGGTGGGGTTCAGTCTAATTCCTGAGGCTTTGTTTGTAGGCAGCGTACAGCCAGGTGGGGNGGGGTTCAGTCTAATTCCTGAGGCTTTGTTTGTAGGCAGCGTACAGCCAGGTGGGGTTCAGTCTAATTCCTGAGACTTTGTTTGTACTGTTATGTGTGAATATTTAACACAGAACATTCCTTAAAAGTATTTTATTTTCCAATCTCATTCAAAATATCCCAAGCATCGACTTTAAATAGTTTCCTTAAAACATGCAGCGCAGATAAAACAATCAAGTAATTCAAATTTTAAAGCTTATGCAACAATATTTTTTGTCCCACATCCATGCAGCAACCTTTGACACACAAATAATGCAAACAATAATCCTCGACAGTAAAAAAAAAAAAAAAAGTCAAGTCCACGGCAAGAAATTACAGTGCAGCGCCAGGCCCAGCAGCCAATACGAGAGGAAGTATCCCAGGATGCACTGCGTGGTTGGAGAACAGGCTTTAAAGTGTGGCAGCAGTGCAGTGATGGGGTTTTGGAGCGTGTGCTTGCAGCCGTTTCTGAGGCTAGTCTGTGACTGCACGTTGGGAGTCGAGGTCTTCCTCCGGTGAAGAAGAGGCTCGTTCAGGAGGAGCAGGTGAGCACTTATCCAGAAGGGCACAGGAGACGAGGAGGCCATGAATCTGGTTAAAACCTGGGCGATAAAAAAAAACAAACTTATTTGTTAGTTTAAAATAAATTAGAAAATGCAGAAAATGAGAGGATTTTTCTTACCTGTACATGCATGCACAGAGTTCCAAAAACAAGGAGCACGGCTGAATGCACGACGTACACAAAGACTTTGGGATTGAAGAAGCCTGGGATGGGTTTGTCCAGTCCCGGTTTGGCCCCCGTGTCCCAAAGCCCAAGTCTCAAACAGAGCTCCGGGTTGGCTTGGAAGTACGCGTAAACGGCCACGATGCCGAGCGTCGCCATCGGCAGAGCTAGAATAAAGTTTGGGATCTGCTTCAGCTCAAAGTAACGCAGGAAGCCCACGTCCCAGTACACGTCCTGAATGTGCGAGTAAAGCAAAGGGAGGGGCCTCATGCACCACAGGGGAGGGGGGCCGTTTTCATTGGGCACCCGGTAGCCCTTCCGTTCAGCCAGCGCCAGAAGAGCAGGGTGGACCTGCTCCAGGGAGGTGGACGGGGTGCAGAACGTCCTGTAGCCGTAGTACTGGAACGCACAGAAGGGGAGGGCGATAATCGTGGCGCCCAACAGGGAGGTGAGCAGGAGGCGCGCCACRACCCAGACGTAGCACAGGACTTTGCTGCAGCCTTTCGTCGTCGTACGGTAAGCGCRAATCCGCGAAATGGCGTGCAGCGACGGGAGATAGAGGAGAAACCCGATGTTGACGAGTCCGTTAGAGCGTGCGGCGGTGGCGATGCTGAGGGCCAGGCAGGCTCTGAAGGTGAAGCCCTTCTCCAGGAGGAACAGGCCGCCGAACGTGAGCGCGGCAAACAGGCTCTCGGAGTAGCCGGCCGTCATGAAGACGTTGGCGGGCGTGACGCAGTACAGGAGGCTGGAGAGCAGGGCGAGACGCCGGTCCTGCAGGACCGCCCTGCTGAGGGCGTGCAGGGCGACCACGCTCAGCAGGAAGAGGGCACTGTTGCCCAGAGACACGGCCAGCAGCAGCCGACCCCGCACGCTCAGCCAGCCGCTGAGGGGCCACAGCAGCGTCTCCGCCAGCCCCCGCAGGACCACGGGGAAGAGAGGGAAGAAGGCAAAGTTGTGCTCGTAGAGGTAGCCTCGCTCCGCGATGAAGAGGAAATGCTCAGCGTCCCAATGTGAGAGACCCCCGAACAGCCACTCCACCACACTGTCCAGGTACAGGGGCTCCTCTGTCTTAGGGGGCCTGAAGGCATCAGCTTCATGATCAGGGATGGCAGCGTTCAGGACAGCCTGAAGAATAATATTCCACATTATAACCAGAAAGACAGCCATGAAACTCTGTACCTTACTTTGACACATCACTGTCGTACTATGACACATTTGGCCCATACTCATCTACTCAGATTTACGTTTGAAACTTACCTGTAAAAATAGGGAGAGGCCCCTGGTAACGGTGGCAAACTCCAGGACCCCTCTGACATCCATGGTCACWGATGAGACGGACAAAACACCGAGGAGAAACCGGCTACGACAGGCACCGCCGCTGCTGCGACGAGGCACTTTTTAGCGTTGAATTGGCCATAAGACATAATTGAAAAAAATGTCGGCTATTTTTGCCTTTTATTCGTTTTAAATTTGTATCCCCATAATATTAATATTAAACACAACTTTAGCCACCAGGGCGTCCGTCTCTAAGCAGCATGTTTGACGCTCCGTCCAGCATCTTTGTCCTCACATCCACAACCTGCTGCAGGAAGCTTCCTGGAACTATTACTTCCGGTGAGCAAACGAAACTTCAAAATAAAAGGTTTACTGGCTGGGACATGAAAACTAATTTATTTAAAAGCCTGCCTATAAAATATTTATTAATTGACTTAAACATTAAAAGCAGTCAAGTTTTAACTCATTTGTTGTAACCATGAGTATATTCGTCTCCTCTTCCAATMGGCTGCAATACGCCCATTATTTCCGGTTAGCAATTGCAACAATTAAAAACTAATGAGCTCAAACAGGAAATTCGTAGTTTCCCAAAAAGATTCCTCTTACATAGTTTTTGATTGTTTTAAACATTGTCAATGGTGTTCTTTTGTTTAAATAACCACAGGCTGCAGTTTGTCCACTATTACTTCCGGTAAGCAACCCTAACTTCAAAATAAAAGTTCATGTGCGCAGACATGGTATATTTAATTCCATAATAGGCACGGATCGTAAAATTATTTTTTTTATATAAAATGCTGAATTTCAAACTTTTTCTTATTTGGAGTTTATACCCAATACCTGCCATTATTATCACCGATATTAGTGACTAGTGAATTTTATTGTGAAGCCTTTGAAACAATTGACTTTATCTCCTACAGGAGGCGCTACAAGAGACGTGGTAAACAAATAATTAGACCAAATATTACTTTGAAGTACGAAGTACCTAGCCTGCTTGAATTATCAATAAAATAAGCAACTAAAAAAAAAAAAAGTCTGCTTGTGTTTGAACTAGTTTTTTAATACCCTCAAGTTTAACTACTTACTGTGTTTTTCTATCTGACTGTTTGACTAAAGCAGTAAAATATAAATTTAAGCAGTGAAGACTTTCTTTATAACACATTCTGTGAAAAGTGAAATTTGATCCCTCCAGAAGAGCTACACATTCTTAAGGAATAAAACCAAACAGCTTAAGAAGATTTGATGTACATTTATTCTTACCACGTGGAACATATAGTATAAAGATTTCATACTGAATAAATGATATTCCTTGAGCCAAAAAAAAAGGGGGGGGGGGAAGGGAGGAATTTACATGATGCCTTAGCTACATAGGTCTTGAAATACAAATATGCAGAATCCATGATTGGAGAAAATTTGTCAAACGTGTACTTCATCTAGTTTATTCTCATTGTACCAGAATATTACAAGTTTAAGCCATGTCTGCCGTACTACAGAGCTGTGGAGAGACCGGAGGAGTGGGTCTATAAATGGCGGAGGACAGGAGGTCAAGGACAAACCAACATGTCAGCCTCCGTCCCGCACCAATAACAAGTGTGAGAATAGTGACACAGACAGAGACAGACACAGAGAAAGGAAGTATAATGTACAACATTATATATATACACCACAGCAAAGCTGTATCTGAAGTTGAAAACCAGTCCTAAGAGGTGATTTCTTTTCATAAGGGTATTCATACAATCAAGGGATAAAGAGGAGGTAAGGGTGTTGTAGGTTCTCGATACTTTGGGGAAGAAAGCCATTCTTCTGTTTAACACCAAACTAAAATGACCTTAAAACTCTAGAGCTGCGTCGTCAGCTTCTGTGAGAAACGTGTTACAGAATGCTTACACTTCAAGAGCAGTACGGTACAGAAAATGTCCTACAATCTACTGCACACTGCACAGGCCTCCCCGGTGAAGGTGTTTACTGACAGCACGGTTCACTGTCGGGCTGACTGGTGAGGATCCAACTACAAGCAACTAAAAACCAGTAGGTCACTTTGTCAGTCTGCTTCACCTCAGTTACAGACTCACTGTGCCCCTCCAGGGGAGAGCTAGGGCACGCCGTGTCTCCCAAACTCACTGTAAACGAGACAGCAACTTTGGTTACAGTTTTTGTTTTTCAGCTATTTATTTATTCATTTATTTATCTTTATTAAAAAGTACTTTCTCCTGCCTACCCCCCACCCCTCCCTCCCCAAGTGCAGAACAGTCTCCCCACTACGGTGCCCTGCTCCGTAATCCAGTTGGCATTCACATTGCAAGTAGTGTCTGTCGGCATCTCTCCACTACAGCTCTGTGATGGCCCCCCCTCCCCGAAGAAGGTTGGCCTGTGGAGGGTTCAGAGAATGGACTCTGAAGGGTTTTCATAAATTAAAGCCAGTCACTTGAACTTTTCTTGCCACATAGAAGCCAGATTTAATGGGGAGGAGGGGGGCTGGGGGAGGGATGAAGCCCCTCCCCAATAAACGGAGCGCACAGCTCCCTACAGCTGTCACGATTGGCCGATCAAAAAGAGTACATCACAGATAACGTGGGAAACCAGCGAGTTCATTAGCGGAGACACGGACAGGTCGAGGAGCCGGGACTCGTGTAGTGTGAATTCTGAGTGGTTCTCCTCCACCTTCGCCAAGGCGAGCAGAGCCCGGGCAGCTCGCCGCATCATGTCCGGGCTGGTGGGCTCGAAGGGCATCCCCTGGAGGTGCAGCAGAGAGCTCTGGCTCTGTTGAAGCTGGGTGGCGGCCAGGCTGTCCTCCAGGAAGCCCAGCAGATTGCCCACGCTGCCCTTCTGAACAGCGATGGCTCGGGCCGCCGTAGTGTCGCCCTGGGCCAGGTTGGCCAGCAGAACTACGGCCATCTCCCTGCAGACAGCGACCTTCCGGTCTCCGATTAGCCGCACCAGGTTCCCGTAGAGCTTCTCCAACCGACTGAAGGGCGGGGTGGCCAAGATGAGGTCCACGTTGTTATCTTGGATGCTTAGCTTGCTCAGCGTTTCCAGGACCAGCCTCTGAGGGGACAGCGCACTGTGGGGTCCCAGAGTGGGGAAGGGGTCTTGGGCCTCCGCTGAAGGACAGACAGCCCAGTGGAGAAGACCATCCAACAGGGGCAAGCAGATGCTCTCAGTGTAGACGGAGAGGTCCAGCTGGCCTGAAATATTTGCCAATGTGACYAAGGTGTTTTCTCTCAGGAGCTCCAAGCAGTCCCACCACCACTCGTCCTTTTGGCCCACTCCCTCGTCGGAATCCTCGTCTTTCTCGTATGTGAGCGGGGCCTGTTTGCGCTCGGGGTGCCAGTGGTGGAGGAGGATCAGCCGCCCGAGCATCAGCAGCAGACCGGGATGTTTGGACATCTCGTGGTCATTGCCCGGCACGAACGACAGGCTGCGGATTATATTTGAAACACAGATGCAGCGGCGGGCTAACGAATCCTGCCAGCTCGCCAGCGTAACAAGAGGTCCTTCGTCTTTACTGTGAGGCTCATCCTCCAGGATGGTGCCAGTCACTTGTGCCTGTTGGGCTAAAATACTTCCAGAAGAAAGAACGGACCTATTATTCTCCTGATGGCTTTTAGAATCTTTCTCAGCTGGCTTTGTGTCTGAATCTGACTGCCTCTCTTCGTCGCTGCTAACCACAGAGCTGGCCTTCTCMGAGTCTGTGGATTTTTCCGACAAAGATGCCTGCTTTTGCCTTTCTTCTTCGTCTTGCTTCCTTTTTTCTTCCTCGGCAGGCAAACAATGTTCCCGTATGTCTTCGTCTAGGAGCCGTCGCTTTAATAGAGCCGCAGGAACGGGTATTCGCTCTCGTGGCTCCAAGAAGTCTTTGCGTGGCTCAAATAGAGTCTGGATGTGTTCCGTCGAGTCTCCGCCTCCAGCACTCCAGTGAAKCAGCCCACTGTCAAATTCTTGCACTTTACCATGACTGCTGGATTTGGMGGCAACAAATGGGTCTGTCTTTCGTACTACCTTCAGGGGAAACTTGTCGAATTTGCTGGCCTGCTTGGGTCTCTCGTGGGTGGGTAGAAACTGCAACGAGCTCGTCTGCACGGATGACGGACCTTTGCTTTTCCTCTCGTCGTCTTCCCTCTTCTCGTCTCGGGGGCACGGTTCTTCGTTGCCCTCCTCCTTCACGTGAGCTGGACGTTCGGTGTCCTCCTCATCTTCATCGTCCACCTCCTCTTGTTGCATGTCCTCCGGTAGTGGTTCCTCTTCTTCCATGCTGTCCAAGTCTCGCTTTAAGGCATCTGGATCGAGCAGCGTCCTCTGGCCAGGGTCTCCGACTTCGTACTCCCGCAGGATGCCAAAGATTTCAATGAGGCAACGTCTGAAATACTCAACCACCAACTCTAGCAGACCAGGCAACTACATGAAAAACACAAATATTGAAAATATTAGACATGATAACCTTAAAAGTCTGATTAAAAAAACCCAAAATCAATGCAAGTCTCACCGTGTTAAGATCAAAAGTAGCAATACTGTTGTCATCATGTAGGAGAATATTGATGGTATCTAAGGCCCACGTACTTTCAGCCAATAAACCAGACTTTAATGACATCATAACTCTCCAGGCCTCTGGTGTTCCTGAACAGAAACAACAAAAACACAACATTAAGTACTTTTGATGCAATAAATTAAYGGAGGCAGACGTGGTCGAATTGTGTCTATTTGTCATTTAAGGTCGTACCGATTTCTTTCATGGTTAGTCTTCGCCGTGGCTTCAGGACAGGAAGTGAAGCCTCTACAGAGCCTGGGGGGAAAGGCATGTCTCTCCGTATTAGAGGCGACTGCACCGAAGGGGGCACTACATGGGATGCAGGCACCGGGGGTCCGGCCTTTTGCATCTTCATAACTCCGTGCATGTAGGGGGATTTACTGGGTGATGTCCGGCTCTCCATGGAGCGGGGTATGGAGGCCGGGCTGGGCACCTGTGGAATGTGGTTCTGCACCCCCTGAGRGGGCTGGTAGTTGGACTGTACTGAACGAGGCATGGGTTGTCCAGGCCCAGCTGGACCGTAGGGAGGCTGTCGAGGGCCCATCTGTCCCCCCCACTGGCCGTCATGATTCATGCGCTGCTCTGATGACATCATCTCCTCGGAGCGGTTCATCCCAGGGTAGCCCGGTCCCTGAGGTGGGCCACCAGGACCGCCTTGTCGGTTTGGGTAGTTCTGATAGTTGATATCTCGAGGTCCCTGCCACATGCCCCCCTGAGGGCCCTCAGGGACGGACTGAATCATCTGAGGGGGCATGTTGGGCTGCGCGTTGGGCCCGGATGCTCCCTGCATCCGCTCACGACTGAAGGGAAAAGGAAATTGATTGGCGGGTCCAGGAGGACGGCGGTCAGGACCAGGGTAGGGCCCTGTGCCGCTGTACTGATTGTATGGCTCCTGCTGTCCTGAAGGCGGTGCAGAGGTGCCTCCTTGCTGCTGTTGCTGCGGTGCTGGTTGACCCTCGGGGAAGGAACCACTGTACTCAGTCTCGTGGCGTTTTGATGGCGGGTACCCTCCTTCTACAGGACGTTTGTAGCTCTAAACAAGGAGATAGCTCTGTTACTACAAACAATTTATAACTATTGCGCAGAAAATCCTGTCATTCAAAATTCAAACCTTTCGGTGCCATTGTGCAATAAAACTTGGTAAATCGTTCAAACTTATTTTATCACAGCATAGAGGAGATGAATCGTTTACCTGTTGAGGGTACATTCCTGGCTGCTGATTGGGGTAAGAGCCAGCAGGGGGCGTGCCCTGTCCAGGATATTGATGATTACCATAGGAATCATGCCTGTAAATTTGATGCCCTTGTTAGTTTCACCATGGAAATAATCTGCAGTTAAAACCCTCAGTCGTACAAGCTCTGTAGGATTTATGAGCAAAATAKACACTTTTAAAGATTTCTGTTGCATCATAATTAATTCCTATGAAAGTGGTCTTCCTTATACTAATGTTTTCTCCAATTTATTCTTTAAAAGGTATATCATATAAATAGCAAATGTTTTATTCAAAATATGCAGAAAATAAAATGACGTGGCCATTTTTCGGTACAATAAACATACAAATATTTGAGTCTAAATCTATTCTTCAAATTGCTGCAACTATATGATCAGAAGGTTTGAAGCTGGACAAACGGTTAAGTGTTCAGAGGACTGACCGTGGCTGCTGTGGTGGAAAACGGTTTGGAGAGTACATCCCCGAGTCGGCGTTGGCGGGCATCATGGGGTTTGGCTGAGGGGCACCAGAGCCCATGTTACCTTCTGGACCCATCCCCTGCTCTGGTCTAGGATAAGCAGGACAAGTCATGACTTAGTTTTTCCTTATCTCTCTCTAGATTTTTCTGCACACAAATTATTTGCTCAATAACAACAGCTAGAGTAACACAAATGTTAGAAAGCCTTTTTCTAGGATACAACCTTCAAACTAAAACCAGTCAACGTTTTTAAAGAGATGTTTTAAAGATCTTGTTTGGAGGCAAAATGCTGACAGGTCTACACTTTAAAAATAATAAAGCTTTGATCGGAATCAAGTTTTCTGCTTTAAAGTTTGTCCACTATGTAAAATCTCTGAACGCATTTTAATCAAAAACACAGCAACTCAGTCTTGCCTTGGTAAATAGAAGACAAGATTTTCAAGATCTTCTATGAAACTAACTAAATTAAATCTAATCTTTATATATTTTTGATATAAAAGTAGACAAAGTTTTTAAATTTCTGGTGTTCAACTGTTATTAAAACATAATTATCACTGTCAGCACATTAAAATATAGTTTTTTCAAAATTTAATGTTTTTTCATAAAAATTCCACAGTAATGCAGATTACATATTAAAAAGAGTAAACTGTTTAATTCTGAAAACTTCACAAATCTTTAAAAAAGTACAGACTTTTAGTGTATTTTCTTACTTATAGATTGTTCTGATTATTAAAAAAACTGTTTTTAATCGGACACTGATCCTCTTTAAAATGCATTTAATTCGTACCTCCTGTCATAGCCTGGTCCATAAGGATACTGCTGTCGTGGCATTGTGCCCATGGCCCCGGGCGGTCCTCGGTTGAATGGAGGCTGCTGTTGTGGCGGCTGCTGCTGCTGTTGTTCACCCACCACACTGTTAGGTCCCTGGTTGGCAGGTAGAAACTGCTCCCCGACTGGTAACAAACACATTCGGTTACAGAACATTTAGAACCGACTGGTATTAGAAATGAAGACTTCAGGATTAAATGAGTCCATTCAGGGCTCCCCCACCTTTGCGCATGTTACTAAAGGGGTCCTTGTTGGGTTCATAGGGGCCCATGCGACCGGGCATGTCTTGTGTGTTCATGCCAGGCTGGTAGGTGGAGTTGGGGGTCATGTTCTTCCTGAGAAATGCAGGGTCGCTGCCATCAGAGAAGGGGTCCTGCAAACTGAAGCTGATCCTAGGAGAGAGGGGAGAAATAGTTTAATAAAAATACACTCGTCTTTTTTTAAGAATGGTTTGTGAAATCCTGTGGTAATCACTTGGAGCTGGGTGGCATGGGGGGCATTTGGGTATGAGGAGTGGAGGCCGGCGTAGGTGGTTTCAGATCTCCCCCCTCGGCCATGGAGCTGCTGGTGGACTGGGGCGTCTGCGGACCCTGTAGAGAGCCTGACCCAGCTGTGGAGCAGAGGGACGCTTCAGTTCGAAACGAGAGGGGAGCAGACAGATATGGTACGAGACTTTAATTAGGGGAAAAGTCCAGAAGTGCTCAGGTGTTTTATCAGAACAGATAAAGAATGTGTCCAACCTGGAGAGGGGGGCTGCACCTTGGCAGCTTGGTTCTTCTTGTTGTCTGTAAAGATCTCAGGCGGAGGGTCTTCACCGCGCTCGATTTTACACTCAAAGGCGTACAGACACTGGATGTACTGCTTCTTCAAAGAGCTGGCAGCACTGCTGGACATGCCCACATTCAAGGAGGTGGCCAGATCACGCCACTTCTTATTCTTATTCACCTATCAGACACAAAACGACAGAATTAGAAAAGAAAAGGGAGCTGGAAACACGTGGACTTTACGACACATCATGGATTCTATTAACCTGGGTCATGCCTCCGATCTCTTTGACCGACATGTAGAGCCGGAACAGGTCGAGGGGTTTGCGTCCCACAGCGGGCAGGTTGGTCATCCCCATAGCTTTCTCCTCAACAAAAGCCAAGTACCGGTCAACCCAAATCTTCCTCTCTGGCTCTGGTCCCAGCTCGTACAGGCGGGTTATCTTTTCGCTTGTAGTCGTGGAGGAGTTGGACTTCTGTTTCGTGGCGGAGGGAACAAAAAAGAAACAATTTTAAGATCGTTGAGAATTCAACAGACGTTCTGCAAATACTCCCTGCAGATTACGCAAGTATTGCACCTTGGATTTGGGCTCTGGTTTGGGTGTTACGCTGCCATCCACCTTGTTATTCGCCTTATTGTTCATCTCTGGGCTGGAGGCCATGCCTGCACGATGAAGGGGGCCGGAATTAGCAGGGGAGTTCTTGTGTTTACGAATAAAAAAAAAAACACAAAAATGACGACGTCTCGATCAAACTTACCGCTTGTGTTGTTGGCCATGTTTGGTCCCATGGGATAAGGGGACCCACCAGAAGTGTTCATCATTCCAGGCATGCTATTCATTGGCGGACCATATGGTGACATGTTGGGGTAACCGGGCATCCTGAAGGACAAATAAATATAAAAATTGAGGATCTAGTATAAAACAGCTGTTGTGCACTGAATAAATTCATATGTGAACCAACCTGTTGGTAGGAGGATGCTGCATGGCTGTCGGGTCCTGGGGCTTTCTGTTCATGCCTGGAGGAGGGCACATTCCGGAGACTACCTGGGGTGGAATGTTGCCCATGTTGGGAGGCATGTTTGGCCCCATGCTGGGGCCCATATTAGGGCCATAGGGACGCGCCCCCATTTGATTTGGAGGGATCCTTCCTGGAGGCATACCAGCGTATGGCGGGCCTCCACCCTGTCCTGCCATGGGGTTCATGGAGCCCATCCCTGGTCCAGGGTAGTTGGCGTTGGGCATATTGCCATAGGCAGGTTGGCGTGGATAACCTATAAATTATATCACAGATAAAATGTTAACTGCAATAAAAGAATAGTTAGGTCAAAAATGTGGATCTATGATTAAATTATGGTGGGAACACACTGAAAACCTGTGAAGACAGACTTTTTTTTATCCAGGGTTCCCACACCTTGGTCAACATCAAATTCAAGAACTTTTCAAGGACGTTCMAGGACCAATTTCCTCAAATTAAAGTACCATGTGTAACGGCAATTACCTACTGCTACCACAGAATGTTACCAATAAACAATAATAAAATGTAAATTCAATGAAAAACTGAACATAGAAGTTGTTGAGTCAGAAACAATGACGTCAGTTTACTGTAATCCTGAGTTATCAACCGCAACAAATGTACATTTTTTTAATTTAATTTTATAATTTATTTATTTAAAAGATGACAAAAATCAGTCTTGTGAATTGAGAATTTCAATCCCGAAAAAGCATTCGACTTTCAAAGACAAGTGTAACTTTTTGGCTGTTTTCACAAATTTTCCAGGGCCTTGAAATTATTTTTTTCAATTTCACAAACTTTCAAGGATTTCAAGGACCCATGGGAACCCTGTTTATCATTTAGGTAATTTTACTTCACTTATTACTCACAAAATGTGCAAGAAGAAAAACAAAAACTTCAATAACCTCAAAATAAAATTTCTTCTAGTTTCTTCCACAAACTAACCACAACACAAAATCAATGGCAAACAATGTATTCATTCCTAAACACTTTTTAATTTTATACCTTCTCGTTGTAGAGGACCTTAAACTTCATAATAATTAAGCATTTTATCAAGTCAGCATTCCTTAGTTTTGATCAAAGGTTTCGTGTTAGTTCTATAGGTCTACCCAATAACTCAGAAAATGGACGTACAAGTGAAAAATAATCAAGCTTTCACAAACTTGTTTCATGTAATCTATATGAGGTTTCAGATCTTGTTTACGATCTGAAAAAAAAAAGCCACTTTATCTTTCGATCTTCTAGCAGAGAACTCTGCACCGAGAGCAACAAAGCTTTGTGGCAGTTTGTGCTCTGCTGGCAGGAGGCAGTGCTACATCAGCTGACTCTCTGACTCTGCTGCAGCTATAAATAGCCGTGCAGCAGAGGCAGAGGGAGAGGGAGGGACCAGCCGAGGCAGGGAAATGTATTCCATAGGTTTGTCTAATATCTTATTTCCATGAGGAGACGTCACTAAATTATGTGGAAGATTTAGTCAATTAACAATTTGAGCTTTTAAAGAAAACCCATCCATTATGAGAAGCTTTGATGGTTTCTGTTACAGTCAAAAACAGAAACAGACAGGGTACCTTGAGGACCGTATTGTCCTCCCTGCTGCCCGTAGCCACCCATGGAGCTGTTCTGCTGATACGGGGCCATCCCGGGATGCATCTGTCCTCCGGAGGACTGGCGAGGCGACAGCGCAGAGGCAGACTGGGGGGAGCCGTAAGGGGGCATCTGAGGGTTTCTCTGCATGAACCCTGAAACAAACCAACAGTCTAAGACATGGCGCCTAGACTTGAACAACACCTTCGACACAATCGTCTGAGTCTGGACAGCATACCTCTGTCCTGAGCCATCGGAGACTGACTCATCCCAGGATGCAGGTTCCCATCAGAGTGCACACTTGATGGTCTGGGAGGCATCTGGGTCCCTAAAGGATAATAATTAAGTTCAGTTAGTTTGAGCTCAGGCGAGGTACAATGAGCCACTTCCCAAATTATTCAGATCAAATTACACAATGCTTAAAAAGAGTTGTACCCCAGAAAAGGTGCTTAAATTTTGTTTTTATAATTATTGCTCCTTTAGATTTTTTTTCCATCCATGAATGCTGTATTAGTGAAAAAAAAAAATCAAAAATTAAACTCTGCAATTACAACTATTTTGTGAGTATTTCATACCCTTAACAAGTTTATGTTCATGAAACAAGTTCGTTCTCATTTTGAATTAGGGCTGCACCGACTGCGAGTTTCTGACTGATCGCCGATCTTTAACAAGTCGGACTTGCCCATTCCAAATCTGTCCGATACCAATTCTTTACATAACTGACACTGTCAAGTGTTATATGGTCACAATGCACCTTCGATGTTCCAATCTYATTTTATTGAAAACAGTGAAAGACGCTTGAAACAACACAAACTTGTTTTAACTGGACATCAGTGCTCACAGCAGAGCAAATGGAGGCAGATGAGAAGCTGATCTTTTCCTCCGATCTTATCCAAGTATCAACTGATCTCCCAAAATTAAGGAAATCAACACTGATAAATCAGCCCGACCATTTATCAGTGCACCCCTATTTTGAATCCATTGCAGACATCAAGTTTCTATCCCTTCTGAAAGGTGCTTAATTAGACACTATCCTAATCACCTAAATCATTTCATTCAAGTTTGTCAGGAATTTCACAAAATGTATTATGATACATTTTTAGTTACATTTTCTCACATTTCCTAAAAGTATTTGGGCTATTATTTTAGGAAGGTGATGATTGTCCTATGACTTTAGATGAGCCCAGATTAAGTCTCTATTTGGGGGTTTAAAAAAAGTCTTGAAAAATATAAATTTTTACACTCATTTGTAATTTTTATCTTTATTTTGACAGTGTAATGACTTCCAGTCATTTCTGTAGTTTAACCATGACCCTTACTCTAAACCCAATCCAAAACTGTTCCATTTATCTACTTTTTTATGAGAAGGAATGAAAATAACAGATGAGAAAAGTAAGCTTTGCTTCAGCCTTTATGCTTCATGACAATATGTTGAAAATCCACGTCTGAGTTGTTTCAAATGGTCATGATTATATAAATATATAGAAATAAAGAATTCTCTTCTTCTGTTCATAAGCTCCCACTCTGATCCATGGGGTCGATCTTTAGTTAGTAAGATAACTACGTCAAATCAACACAAACGTCAGATTAGAGCCAAGATCTCAGGAGGCCCAAAGCAGGTCAAGTACAGTCGGATGATGATTCAGGGAAACTTTACTTTCATTTGAACAATGGGCCGTTCGTATTCTTATTCTAAACTTCTCTTACTTTTGTTCGTACGAACATGTCACGTCAGATTCAACAAACTCTTCTATCTTCAGAAAAAGTGTGTAAATGAGGAACGTAAACTGATGAATGTGTATCCAGGTGCTCATGCATGAGGACAGGAGATTTACATAATTACCACCCCAAAAACACCATATAAGGATAAACATTTCCTGCCCGAAATTACTAGGAAGTGTCCATTCATACGTGACATCGCAAAGTAAAAAAGTTTACGAGTTCGGAGAATGAAGTTCTGCTCTCGGAGATCCACAAAAAAAAAAAAAGTCTTTTTTAGCAGCGTCAGTTGTGGAATTAAAGGATCTGTTTTAAAGTCGAGGAATGAAATGTGCTGCTAATGTCGTGTCTCCTGTGGGTCCTACAGTCACAGAAATAAAAATCTAAAATCATATATATCTCTCTCTGTAGTCCTGCTCTGGTTTTTCTTTGGTCAAATATTTTTACTTTCAGTGTAAACACCTGTGTTACATAGGTTTCATTTATTCAGAGGACCAGTCGGCACCCCCCACAAATTCTCCTAAATCACTCGGACGCACAACTTAGGAACAAATCTGTGCGTACGAACGGTTCTTGCATGAGGCCCATTGATTTGTTTCCATCTCATCATGTTGGGACATTTTCTCTGAATCAGTTATAGAGGAAATGTTTTCAGACCAGGTAAAACCCTGTTAGAGATCACATTAACCTCACCTGGCATGTTGGCGGGTGACAGCGGTCCTGCGCGGGGCGTGCTGGCGCTGGCGGGGGAACCCGCCGGGGAAGGCGAAGGYCCCCGGATGCCCGGCAGGTGGGGGGACGTATGAGGCGAGAAGGGCGACTGGGCGGGGTTACTCTGCTCGCCCTGGCTGCTCGACACGCCCGACGTGCTGACGCCGGGACTCAGGGCGCCCTCCGTACCCGTGGGCAGGTCATCGATGGACCCCGACAGGTCCTACAAACAGATAAGGTCAGGCTGCGATTCTTAAAAAAAGTCATTATTTGTAAATTAACTCTTTTTGTTTCCGTTTACTTCGCCTGTTCTAATTCCATCATGAAGCTCCCGCTCTGTGTAAAGACATGAGTGGCACAGATTCAAAAACTAAACACACGTATCCCCAGAGACTCTTGTCCTTATTTATCTTTTTCACACAGTGAGTGTGCATTATTGCCAGGGGTTGTCATGGTTACGAAGGTTTGTAGKCTCCGAGCAGCAGAGTCAGCATGACGGCAGCTCGGCCACGTGATCTCAGTAAACAAACAGAACTCACTCAAAATTCCTCTTCGATGCAAATCAAACACAGAAACAGCAGCACAGAAACTTTTTAAAGTGGGGTTCTGTAGAAAGCTCACGAACAATTACTATCTTACCTGTTGTACATAAATCTAAAAGAAACTGGAAATACAGAGGTAAATTCTGACAGAATCAACGAGTCAATGACTAGTTTGAGTGGGGTCAAAWCTAAAACCAGCTGTTGTCTTAAAACAGAGTTGTAAAGTAACTAAGTACAAATACTTTGTTACTATACTTAAGTAGAAATTTTGGTTATCTGTACTTTACTTGAGTAATTATTTTTCAGCGTACTTTTTACTTTTACTCATTACATTTTTACGCAATTATCTGTACTTTCTACTCACTACATTTTTAAAAAGGTAAGAAGTAGAAAGTCGTTACTACTATTTTATTCCGAGTTGTCTCCTGGATAGAGTGAATTTAATTGTGGTTGGATGAGAAGTATTAGCTTGTACACAACCCATCACAGCTGCACGCCATCAGAAAAAATGTTTTTTGGAGAAGTAAACACCCAATAAATGTCATTTTGGAAAATCTAACTGCTCATTTTTACTCAGTACTTTTACTTTTAATACTTAAGTACAAAAAATATCAAGATACTTTAAGACTTTTACTCAAGTAATATTTTTAGAGAAGACTTYAACTTTTACCAAAGTATTTTTATGATAAGATTCTTGTACTTTTACTCAAGCATCACTTTGAAGTACTTTATACAACTATGTCTTAAAACAACTCTAACCTCAACATATTTTGTTTTTTATAAATCGTCAAATCACAAACAATCTTGCGCGACACGATAATATTTCCACCTCCAAAGTAGGCACACTTTAAAGGGCGGTTGTGTCASAGTTGTTAGGGGACTCGTTCTTCTAATGCAAGCGTTAGAGGTACGATTCCCCCTTATTCTCTCACAAGTCGAAGTGTCCCTGGGCAAGACACCGAACCCCCACTGCCTCTGATGCGTCCCATCAGTGCATGAGTGGGATTTAAAGCACTGATTACTCTTTTCTGAGGTGTGTCTAAAAGCAGCCCATTTTGACGCTGTCTCTTTAAATCCACAAGGCGCCCCCGCCCCTCTCCAGCTTCCACAGCAGTCCATTCTAGTTTGATAGTCAGCGTAACGTCGAGCTAACCAAACAGAAACATTTATTTTACTTAAAGATGTCAACAATAGAAGACTTGTCCATCAACATCTAATTAATGCGTATTTGACACGCTGTAAAGTTTTTAAAGGTTTTCAATGTACTGCTTGCATGAATCAGCAACAACCCTTTAGTCTTTCTTCTGAATAATAATTAGCTCAGTCAGATCAGAAAAACTATTTATTCAAACTGCAGTCATTCCAAATGCTATGTACAACAGGTAAGATATTAACGGTTTCTAACATATCTACAGAAACCTGCTTGAAAGTTTCTGAATTTTCTCTTCAAGTAGTTTGTTTTTTTCTTTTTAGGCTCCAGGTCCAAAGTTTGGTGACCGACACCAGGCTGGTCTGACTTCTGATTCTCTGCATGTTTATGTTAAATGAATACTACCTGACTTTCTTAAATTTGGCAGCAAATTAAAAATATACTCGTAATACCATGGGGGTGAAGACGGGGCAACAAGAGACGTTGCTAGTCAGTGTATTTTAGATTATTTTTGACTTTTCCTGCCTTTTAAAGCTCAGCACACAAATGATTTTTGACATACAACTCCAGCTAATTTTCAAGTCGGTGATTGATGATCAGGGGTAAACATAAGGATTTTTTTCAGGTTATCCAGCGGACAGGACAACCTGTTGACAAAATCTGGTTGTCTGCAAAACATTTTGGTTGTCCAAAAAATTTTTTTCTCAATTAAAATGTAATTTAATAGGTAGCCTAAATTGTTCTGTATACGAAGTTTACTGTATACAAATGTTCTCAGTCAGCAGGTTAACAGTTTCAGGAGCTGCTTGAGTAAAACTCCTCCTCATCCTCTGCTTTGAAAAAGAGAGCAAAAATCAACACCCAACAACCATAAGCTTCCTGCGTACAGGACAAACGTTTTAATTTAAATAGTAGTATAGCCTACTGTCTACATGACCTTATTAAAGCTACAGTTTAGTGTTCTTAGGACTGAAGACTTTCTGGATAAAGGGGATTTAAAACAGCGCTTCTGTCATTTGAGTGTTTTCAACTGAGGAGCTTTGACATATTTACTGTATTTAAAAAAATTATAGCACAAAAAGTTCTCTGCATAGAAAAAACAATTTATTTTTTACAGTTTTTTTACCAAACTGACAAGTTTCTCCACTATAATTGTTGTGTGATGTAAATGCATTGAAACACCTGGTTAAATTTAGAAGATATTATGATTAACTACAAGCACCTGAAGCTGACTCAGAACTCTGTGACATTAGAGGAAAATCAAAGTCAAACGTAGACACGGCACCCACCCCGCGCAGCTGTGGTCTGCTTGCACACCCGACTCACATGTGATTAATACTGATTTTTTGCGAAAATTACTGATTTGTGATGCTCATTATACACGTAAATATCTGAAGGGGTTGACTTGTGGACTCTGAAGTCCCGGGCCGGTCGGGGCCGCGGTCAAACTGCCTCTCAGCCCTCGCTTTAAAAACAGTCAGGTTATCTGTCGCGGTTTTGTTGTGCTCGTAAACACACGGTGTTGCAGGAGAAATGCTGCGAGGTGCTTTTAGAAATATAATATATATAAAATAAGACATAATTCTCAGTGGAAAATAGCTCAGGTGAACAYCTCCCGGGAAAACCCTCAGTGTTTCCTGGATTGAGTGGAGCTGAACCCCCAACCCACAGAGAAAGAAAAAAGGCAGTGGTGTCAGTCAGACAGCAGGACCCGCCCTGCTCTGTTCTGATTGGGTAAAACTTAGACTGTGGTTTTTTTATTGGGTGAAAGAACCGTCAATTTAAACCCTAGATGGCTTTACCAAGTTTTTTTTTCTCCCGTTCATTTTTACAATGACGAACACCCGTCTGTATCACGTCTGTATCACATTTTCAAAATTCAAATGTGCCTCATTTACACAGCAGCGTTTCCTCAAGCACCAACCACACAGCCGTGCCTCGGCTACCACAGATGTTCAGTAGCAAAGACAAAAATCATTGCAGAGCATGACGTGAGTCGGCCACAATATGAGCAAATGTTCAAAGAAAAGCTTTGAAAAAGACATTTAAAGCTAAAAAGCTTATAATGTCATGCTGACATGTTTTAAAAAAGCCATAAAAACGAACACATTCTGAGTAACACAGTAAAAAACATCAGTTACTGACCAACAGTCTCACATTAAAAGCAGACACACTGAGAGAAAACAAGCGTCTTTGTGTCCCGGCAGTGAATCAGGCGGCGTTACTGACCGGAAGGCTGGATGGGCGGCCCTGACCGTCCTCTGAGCCAGATTTGGACTGAGTGGATGGAGGTGCGTTGGACTGAAATGAGTCCTGGGATAACTCCTGGCAAACACAAAAAAAAAACATAATGACATATAAAACAATACACACCTAAGGATGAAAACGCTCTGTGACTGAGGGCAGTACCTGCTGCTGTGGAGGAGGAAAGCGCTGATAAGGAGACTGCTGTGCTTGTTGCTGCTGAGCGTTTTGGGGGTACGCTGCAGGCTGCCCCTGTGGATGTTGGCCGTGCCCCGGCGGCTGCTGCGGGTGAGTCTGCGCCTGCTGCTGCGAGGGGGGCTGCGGTGGACCCTGCGTGGATCCTGGGTAGCTAGATTGACCTTGTGATCCAGGAGGAGCCTGGGAGCTTGGCTGCTGCGGGGCCTGACCGGGAGGCCCCTGCTGCTGGGCATAAGGAGACTGGCTGGACTGTGGGGCCGATGCTTGAGTGTAGGGCGGCTGGGACTGAGGGGGTCCTTGTGACGGGCCTGGCAGTGGCCCCTGGGACTGCGGGGGCATGTGGGGCTGCTGATAGGGTGGTCCTCCTTGGTTGTGTGAGGCTGGAGTTGGAGGGTGGGGCTGCCCTGGGTAAGGAGACTGCCTGCCAGGTTGTCCAGGTGTGGGCTGTGGGTAAAGGGATTGTTGTTGACCCGGATGAGGAGCCTGGCCTGGCTGGTTGTAATATTGGGCCTGGCCCTGAGAACCATACCCCCCTGGTCCCTGCTGTCCATAAGTACCCATCTGATCAGAAGGAAAAGAAGGCATTTAGACTTAAACAAGACAAAAACATAAAAATACACAGAAATTCTGAATGAGATCAAATACCTGTGGACCATAAGGCATTCCACCCATGTTTCCAGGGGTACGTCCTGGCATTCCTACTGGGTATCGCTGGGGTCCTGGAGGGCCATAACCCTGGCCTGGGTACCCCGGCCCAGGTTGAGGGCCAGCAGGAGGTCCCTGCTGTGACTGCTGACTGTATGGACTGCTTGCTCCGTATGGCTGACCTCTCATTTTTGCCATTGGATCCATGGGACCTGGAGGCTGGACGTGACAAAAACACACAAAAAAATGATTTAACAACTACTAAAAATAGAATATTTTATTTACAACGTAACACTCTTCCCCACACATGCAATTATCTCATTACATCATTTTATTCAAAGGCTTTAAAACGCCTGGCTGCGGTGTGTAACCTGTTCAGAACTAAAAACACACTTGAATGAATGGACAAATTGTGCCTCCTCCCCACCTTATTTCCCACGGTCATTACCCAGATTTTTTTTTTCACTTTGCCATAGTTTCGGAAGTCAACAGAGCTATATATATCTCCTTTCAAATAGAGGGCAGTCTGCCCAATCCTAAACATATCCCAGCTGTGCTCCTGTTTTGAATCTGGTCCAAGTATTTTTTTTCCCCCTCAAGAGATGGTAGCTTGGCTTTGAATGAATGACACCAGAAAACGAGGGAAGGACTTTAACAACAACTAGAGAGAGAGAAGAAATGTACAAGAGTTTACGAACTCTTATTACGACCCATCAAATGCATTAAGAAGCCCCCTCCCCACGTTAAAAACTCAAAAAGACACCTCGTGTTTATTCCTAATGATTTCCCCACACATGTGCACTTCTGCTGAGAGGAGCATCCTCGCCTCCTTCACAAACAGGACACAAAGTGTGCCAAACTGTAAATCCAAGATAATGAGGTGAAATAAACAAGCTTTCAGCACATGGCTAATCTGCATAAGACAGAGAGGAAACTCCCTTGGTGGGCGAGAGACTGGACTTTACTCTGATTGGCTTGTGGGGGTGGGTGTGTGTGTGTTTGGTGGGGGGGTTCTTTACAGTCGAACTTGTGTTGGCATGCCAGACACAATGGCCACACACACACCCTCCTAGACGGAAAACTTCACACTGGCTTTGGTGTTGTGAAAGAACTTAGAGGGAAATGTGTCATTTCTTCAGGAAATATACATCTATACTGTTTAAAAGCTGGTAAATAAACAAGATCACATGATACTAACTCTAATGTGTTTGTAACAATTTAAATTAATTTTAAAAGATACATAAACAGTACAAGAAGTGTAAAAAGAAGCGAGATCAACAGAGGCGTTAAAGCTGCTGCAGGTGGCTCATTGTGGTCACTGTGGTAACTACACACCTGTGTCTCAATCCCTGACTGCCAAAGTTAATGAGAGACAGAAAAACACTGGCTGAAACTATAAACCAGATATATTACCCATTCTTGAACCACGAGAAGCAGAAGACCAGGATTTTCTATGAACGTTTCACACAGGAGATGTGTTGAAAAGGTCCAGCYTTCGAGACAAAATATAACTGAAGCCTGGCTGTGCCTTCTGTTGGGACTTGAAGGAAAATTACAAGTCCTACAGCTCCTCTGGGTTACATAAAAATGTACTAACAAGAGTGGTGAGAGTGAAGCTAGATCAGAGGATTTACAAGGTGTCTGACGTCGTCAAAGACRTTCTGTCCAAAGGTCTGTTAAAAAAATTTAAATAGAAATTACAAAAGTTAAACTGTGATTGTGTAAAAAATTTTTAAAAAAGACATCTAAACACCAGTTTGGACACGTGAAGTCCAACTATTTGGTTTAAATTTTTAATTATGTTTCTACTGTCAAATACAGCTGAGGTGTARGTTTGGGCAATATTGGCAAAAGAATTAATCAASATTAATTGGGGTATTTAGTCGATAATGATTAATTTGGCGATTAATTCCCTGGACGCCCTTATGTCCTGGTCACATGACCAATTTAGTGGGAAAGATTTGCTCTTCATAAAAATCAGTTCCAAATTGTGTCATAATTACAGACTTCAGGCTGTACATCAAATCTTTAAATTGTGTTGATAAATAAATTATAGAACTTTTTTAATGTTCGTCATATTTGAAGCGGAGAGGAGCACAGAGCGGACTGACTGGTGACATTAATTGTATTAATCGTCAAGGGCCAAAAAAATAATCTATTAATGTTTTTCTGACGATTAATTGCACACGATACGATTATGCCCAACCCTACAGAGGTGTAGAGCTCCAAAAATGGCGTGCGTTTCACCAAAATCCTATTGACGACCAGAATATTTTTCTTGTAGCTTTTGTCCAAGCTGTGCGACTTCCCGCCACCAACAGCATAGCACAAAATCCCCAATTGGTCCCACATTTTGGATGCGTAATTTGTTTTACTTCAAAGCTGCACCAGATGCAGGGATAAAGTTTTGAGAATATTAACAGGGGTAGACATAACCATTGTTTAGGTTGTCCAAGACAACCTATTTTCATTTCGGACAACCAGATCCTGTCTCCTGGTTGTCCGGTGGACAACCGAGCAAAAAAAAACCTCGATTAAAGTTCTCTGCCGCGGGTGTCCATCATTTGTAAAAATGAAAGTGAGAAAAAACTTGTTAAAACCGAACAGAACACTAACTTTTAATAAGGCCATGTACACAGGATACTCCTACTTAAGTGAAAATGTTGACCTATGAGCAGAAAGAAGCTWATGAATGTTGAACTCTATTTGAATGAAGAAAATGAGGACATTTTATTCATGCAGATCCTGTCAACCTGGCTGACTGAGAACAATTATATAAAATAAACTTCGTCTACAGAACAATATACTTGTTAAATTACATTTTTCTTGAGATTCTTTTGGACAACCAAAATGTTTTGCGGACAACCAAGTTTTGTCGACAAAAATATCTTTATGTCTACCTCTGATTAATAAAAGGGCTTTGAAACTTACACACTGTCCTCCAATAACAGATGCTATAAATCAGGGGTGCCCAAACATTTTCCCCGAGAGGGCCAAAATGAACATCTATCCAGGGCTGCGGGCCAAATGCAGTATTATAACACATGAAATACAAATACTTTTTTAAGTCCCTTATTTTTAACCATTAAGCTGTGCAATGGTCCTCTTTTGTTTTAGTCTGTGCACTTGGAGAAAGTCTGCCATACGCTCAAGTAGCAAAGGCTCATGGGACATTTCATAAATAGATAAAATATGAGTTTTTGTGGCCTTATAAAGTGTGYAAATCTACAAGTGGGGTTAAATCTGATCTAAATATTTCTTGTTGTCATTTCATGTTTAATCCTAATAAATCAAAGATATGTCAGCACCATAAATGAAAACCTTAACTACAGCCCTTTTATATAGTCATTTGACCAATGGAAATACTGTGTTTCTATAGGATAACAGGTTACAACCTTGTAACTTTGGCAACTGTTTAGGGCTGCCACGATTAATCGATTAATCGACGACTAATCGATTATTAAAATAATCGATGACTAATTTAATAATCGATTAACCGTTTTCTTTTTTTTTTTGTTGTTCTTTACTTTGTTTTTCTCTCCAAACTGCTTTGACACCTTCCACTGCCACGTCTGCCTTTCTGTCCTTGACACACATGCACAGTAGTGGTAACTGGGGTAGGCCGTGGACGTCACAAGACATTATACAGACAGGCTCTGGTATCATGGCTGCCCAGCAACGGAGCTGAAAAGTGTGGGAACTTTTTAAGAAAATGAAACAGAAACCTGTGTAATATCTGCAAAGCAGAACTAGCCTTCCACAGCAATTATTTTTAGTTAGCATTTAGCTAAAATCTAATGATGGTTATACAATAGCAGCTGCATTCTGATGTGATAAGCTGTGTGTTTTATATTCAATTAACATATGATCCGATTAGTCGACTAATCGAATAAATAATCGGTGATTAATCCGTTATTAAAATAATCGTTTGTGGCAGCCCTACAACTGTTGGTGGGCCAAATCAAACGGCTTGGCGGGCCAAATTTGGCCCGCGGTCCCCACTTTGGGCTCCTCTGCTATAAATCATTGTTATAAACATGTACTCTATAATGCCACGCTGGATTTTTTTTTTTTTTGTCTTTTTTTTTTATAAAACAGTGTCATGCAGACACGGCCCCCATACAAATTAAATTAAATGAGCAATTATCCCCAGCTCCTCAAACATCAGCTGGTGATTTTTGAGAGTAAAAAAGTGGAAGCGAGAGAAGCAGGGAAGCAGAAATACCTCTGGTGACCCTGTGATGAGCTAATAGCAGCGTGTCCTTATCAGCAACTGTTGTTGCCTCGCATCACATGTAATTATAAATGGCCACGAGCGGAGCTGGGCTGAGGAGCCAATCAGATTTCAGCTCGCGTGTCAACCCAAGACCAACTATCTCCTGGCTTTGACAGGAGGATTTTACCTCCACAATTCAAATCCCACTGCAAACTGCGACCCGCAGCCTGCTGCTAACTCGGCCAAGCTCGTCCGGAAGAGCTGCGCGCTGTTTACAAACCCCGACGGCCTCGCGCCACAAGGAAGCGGGCGTCGAATCGAAATCTAATCAGAATTTAAGAATATGCGACCTTCGAGTGACTATCAGAGGATGAGAGAGGAGGGGGGAGAAAAAAAAACACGTTTAAACACCGGCCATTTAACTGGACATTAAGTGCTTCAGTTCATTCGGCACGCAACGCATTCCTCCTCCCGTCATGGCCACAAAATAACAGCCCCCCGGAAAAAAAACGACGACAAATCTACACAAACTTCACATTATAATACGACCAGCTAACCTTTAATTATAGCTACACGGCTCAGCGGCGATTTTAACTCAATTTAACGTAAATTCAGCGCCTAGAAGGAAACATATCGTTGAGGATAAAACGAGCTCTTATTTTCGCCCCCCTTTTTTTTACCCCCCAAACTAGGGCCTTCTTAGCCACCTGAACATCATTTCATCAACTTATACCTGACTGGTGCGCCGCTCCTCTTTCGCTACATACCCTTAGAAATACCCTAAAAGCCCCGTCTTTTTGGTGGCATGCTGTAAAGAGGAAAAATACACACGACAGGCAGCCATTTTAGAGTCTTTGCGAACTAGTATCAGACAATGGCTGGCCTGCTACGTTCACAACTAGCTAGGAGGGAAGGAAACACGCTCGAGACCGTGTTTTAGCTCAAATCTGGCTCTTACCTGGCTCCGTGCGAGCGGCTGCCCAGCACTTCCCGGGCTCATGGGGGACGGGTGATGGCTTCTTTGTTGCCAGCCCGGATTACTCCCTCCGTACTCCGCTGGTCCCTTACTAGCTCCCTCTTGGCCACCGTAGTCGCCGGACGGGTAGTTCGGGTATCCCCGCGTAGAGCTGGGTGAGGTTAGGAGCTTGTTGAGTGTCGGCGTGGAGGTCGGCTGCGGGTTCCCGATGTTATACCTCTGGTTGTTGTAAGATCCGGCCATCGCCGCGGGTCCTCCCGGCGGTGGCTGCTGCTTAGCTGGCTGCCCCCCAGCTGTCGGCGCCTGAGCGCTGCGAGGGGAGTTCATGGCGTACGCCTGGCCCTGGCCGGGATACGGAGTCCTGCTCGGGAACGGGTTGTAATTGTTGAACTGGTGGTTCGAGAAGCCATGCTCGTGCGAATTGGGTTGGTACGGGTCCATCATGTTGCTCGACTGCACACCCGGACCCGCAGAAGCAGCTGGCATGCCAGGGCTTTGTTGTCCGCCATATTGATGAAAAGCGGCCCGACCGTAGTGCTGAYTGAATCCGTACGAAGGTGGAGGAACGGCGGCGCCGTGGTAATGCACAAAACCGGGATGGTTGTTTCCCTCCGGTCCGACTGAGTCATTCGGGGTATTATTATTAACCCTGGGCGGGTTCCCATTCCCGTTCTTCATCTCAGGTTCCCCTCCTCCCCCTGCATTTCCACCGTCGGCTCCGTCCTGCAGCTCCCCACGGCCCGGCGACACGCTGTCCAAACCCGGCTGCTTTTTATCGGACTGCTTCTCTCCCGGACCCGAATCGTCCTTGAGCTCTCGATCCGRCTTTTTAAGTTCAGAAGGCGGACTAGTGTTCAGAGTGGCGACCTGAGCGGCCATGATATTACCCCCCCAACCTCTCTCTCTCGCTCTCTCTCTCTCTCCCTCTCTCGGCGAGTCAGTCACAATCAAAAGCTAGCACTGAATATAAATAAATGTTAAAAACCATTAATCCTTGTGTCGATTCATTCCCACCCTTAATCCGGACCGAATCCGGCTGCCATCCCGCCGGTTCCGGCTCCGTAAACTGGGTTAGAGAGATGATGGAGGCTCCATACAATGCGTAGAGAAGCGACAGAAATTGTTGTGGGAGTTGTGTTACTGAGCCCGGGTAGAGGCAGAGGGAGCTAACCCAACCAACACGAGGCTCCGCTACATACAGCCATTTTACCGAGCCGCACGGACGGTCGCAAAACCCGGCGCGGCTCCGGTCGTCGAGCGGACCGGAGGGCTTTTCTTACCCGGTTATGAAGGCGAAAGGACGGTTGTGTTTTTCACCAGTCTGCGTGAAGCTTTTGCAACAATAATCTCAYGAACCACTGGATRGATATTAATGAAATTTTCAAGAAATATCTATTAAAAACACATCTACAACTGATTAACATTTGGAGRCGATTCAATTCAAGATGGCCGCCGCAGCTAACTAAATTTAATAAACACAAAAATGACTMCAACTCAACAAATGTTACATAAATGCAGCTACATTTAGGTATGATAGTAGCTGGATATATCCCCCAACATATACTCTGAGCTGTACACACTGCACCTTAATTTTGCTTAAAACTTTGACTTTAACTTTTCATGTTAATCCTGCCTAGCTGTTAGCAAAATATCTCATGAACTACTGGAAGGAGCTGAATAAACTTTAAATAAAATATTTATAGAGAACACATCTATAACTAATTAACTTTTAGAGACCACCCTGTTCAACATGGCCGCCACAGCTAACAAAACCTAAAAAACACAAAAATAGCTATAACTCAACAAATGTTTTTTAAAAAAAATGTAGCTATGTTGGTATGGTAGTAGCTGAGCATGATCCCTGACGCATATTCCTAGCGCATAATCCTGCTTTAAACTTTGGCATTAACATTTGGCATCAACCANAGATTGTAAAGCTCTGAGTATTCTGGTTGTATAGAAAGGTGCTATATTAGTAGTGTTTTCATCATTGACCATGTACATCTATAACTAATTAACTTTTAGAGACCACCCTGTTCAACATGGCCGCCACAGCTAACGAAACCTAAAAAACACAAAAATAGCTATAACTCAACAAATGTTTTTTTTTAAATGTAGCTAAATGTTGGTATGGTAGTAGCTGAGCATGATCCCTGACRCATATTCCTAGCGCATAATCCTGCTTTAAACTTTGGCATTAACATTTGGCATCAACCATGTTTGTCTATTGGCAAAATATCTCACAAAACACTGTGCTCATATTAATGAAACTTTCAGAAAGTACTCATTGGATGTCCATCTTCAACTCTTTAAAATTGGGAATCAACCCAACCTAAAATGGCTGCCAAAGCAGGTTGACCTTCACCAGCACAAAAATGGTGATAACTCTGTCCGTATTACAGATATTGAGTTAAAATTTATTTTGGTTGTAGCTGAGAGTCATTCACAAAACATATTTTGAGCACTGCACATTATGTGACATCCAGAGATGTGTGCAAGTCTTTTTTGCAAGTCCAAGTCTTTGACCAAAAATCTTAAGTCAAGTCTCAAGTCCCAGTCTTGTTGCTTGTATTACTTAACTGGCAGTTTGATAAAAGGTATTCTACTAGATTATATTCTATAATACTATATTTTAATCAAATATTAAAACATAGTAGCCTATTATATTTTAATAATACTATTAAAACATAATACTGTTTTACAGATAAGGTTGGAATAACAATCAAGCATTTACAKTATTGTTAACTATATTTTGCACCTTACTGTAATTATATATTTTCATTGACAAAGAACAAATCCAACAAGTTTGCTGCTGATTTTACAATAAAATACCAGAAAAAATATTTTTAAATGCATTAAAGCATGTCAGCAAAGACGATGAACCAAAAGGGCTGCACAAGTCATCACAAAAACAAATTTTGGATTTGGACTCCACACACTTTTCATTTTTGCAAGTCTCTTCTCGTGGCATTGAATAATGTCTCTGTAAGCAAAGTTTATAATGAATGGCAGTTGAGCAGACTACTGCAACACACCTGCCATGCTGAAGCTCTTTGTCATGCTGGCCCCTCCCATTCTCAGGTGAGGGTGAGCGGAGTCTGTGGAGAATTATTCTGACTTTAATCAAGAGCGTATATTTTCAGTTTGAGAGCAGGAGTAAATGTCTTTGCTCTTAAAACTTTATGTATTTGTTCTCAAAGGAGCGGAGCATGGATATACTGTATATTGAGGGAGTGAGAATCGTGAGACGGGCAGTGAAAAGACTTGAATTGTTCACAAGCCTCAAACCACAAGTCCAAGTCGAATCTCAAGTCTTTAGGGTCCAAGTCTAAGTCTCTAATAGGGACTTAAGTGCGACTCAAGTCAAAGTCACAAGTCCCCATCTCTGGTGACATCTTTACTAAAGTTTTAACATTGACTGCTGGCAACAAGTCTGTCTGGCTGTTAGCAAAATATCTCATAAACCACTGGACGGATTTTAATGAGAAAATAATCACTGGATGCCAGCAAAATAAAAAAAATCAATAGCGGATAGTCCTGATGCATCTCAGTAATCCAGGTAAAAAATCAAAAAGAAAAAAAATTGTATAGGTCTTCTGGACGGGTTCTTCTCTAATGAAACGTTTCGTCTCTCCTCCAAGAGACTTCTTCAGTCTGAGAGTTTCAGGCAAAATTCAGGCTTTTGTGATGTGACTGATACTCACATCACATGGCTATTGTTGACACCTAATTAACACTTATTGTTACCAGGGGGTGGAGTGATACTGCCAATGGCAGCGCTGTAGGAGGAGGACAGCTGAAAATGGAGGCCTCCACCTCTGTTTAATGATGGACGGACTTTCTTCACAAAAATGACTTCTTTTACTCCTCTCTCAAACCAACGTTCCTCCCTATCAAGAATGAGAACATCCTCATCTCTGAAAGAGTGACCGCTGGCCTGTAAATGAGTGAAAACTGCAGAGTTCTGGCCATTAGATGTAGCTCGTCTGTGTTGGGACATTCTTTTGAACAGTGGCTGCTTTGTTTCCCCGATGTATAACTGGTCGCAGTCCTCCTGGCACTTAACAGCATATACAACATTGCTCTGTTTGTGCCGGGGCACCGGATCTTTGGGGTGAACCAGCCTTTGCCGTAATGTGTTTTGGGGTTTGAAAGCCACTGGGACATCATGTTTAGAAAATAAAAATAGCGATAGATATATAATAATAGAAAATAGCGGATAGCTTTAACCTAACTTTGGAAACAAAAAATGGACCAATTAGTGTATGCTAAATTAAGTTTGCAAACTTTACGTCCTCTAACAAGCTAACATTAACAGGTTTGTGCCACTAGTCTTCAGCTTGAAGGAAGCAAAGATGTGTGACACAGACTGACAGCCATCTTGGCAATTAGCTGTTAGATCTGCTAATTTTTATTTGTTTAGCATTAGCTTCCACTGATTTTTTTTTTGGTACATGTTTAGCATTAGCAAAGCGATTTTAGTTAACGCAGTATGAATTAGCGAAGCTAATTTTTTGATTGTGCTCAGCACTGATTAGATGTACATCTACAATCGATTATCATTTAGAGTCAATTCAGATTAGTTTTTTAAATTAATTAAAACTCTGATATGAAAGGTAACAGTTGACAGGTATTCCATCCACAAAAAAAATGCTAGGCTGTCCATTTCTATCCAAAAACCTTATTTTATAACCTTATGGTTGGTAAATGTTGGTGTCTTTAAATCAAAATCAAATATCTGGCCTCTTGAAGAGTAATTCCTGTCACTTGTATGGAGGTTTATGTTACAGTTGTGTATTTAACCAGATATAATCTACACACTTACAATATTCACTAACTTGTCCTAAAAACCAAGATATTCATGCAGATAAAATAAAAAATACACAGCATTAAAATAGTTTGCAGAGTCAGTGTTTGTGTGTCTTCAAGTCCTGCGAATGTTTTCATCATTTCACATTTCACTTTGTGGCTGATTTCTCCTCTTATGTCTCCCTTTTATGGTTATTATTGTATCTTGTGGCTGTTTCCAATTTGATCATTTTGCATGTCTTTGTAGTCATGTTTCCATCCTCAGTGCCTTTTTATTGTATCACATTTGGTTGCTTTGCAACACAGAGAGCTTAAATGAAGACAGCTTTGCTTCTGTTTATTCTCTGAGACATTTCAGCTCTCATCGGAGAGCTTTCCTCTGCGCTTCAGCTCAATTTTCCTCCACAGGATTAACATGAAATGGATGAATTAGAATCTGCACAAACATTACATTTTTTTCTTTGCTTTGATTCTCAAATTTGTCAAATTTTCATGTTTTTATTTCTGTTCTGTGCTGTTTTGTGTAACTCTTATTTTAGGCTTCATTGAAGTTGTCTTCTTTTTCTTTTCTTTTTCTGAGTGTCCCACCTGGGCCCTTCAAAGTGCTTAAAGGTGCAGTTCAGACTAATTGAAGTTGGGTTCTGTGGAAAGCTCATGAACAATAAATATCTTACCTGTTGTAGATAGCTAGCCTGGCCCTTGCCTTCTTATGCAGTTCGGCTCAGTTCTAATTTCCCTTCTCTGCTTTGTCTGGGATTTCTCAGGATTTCTTCGGTCGAATTTCACCTGGGCCAGTCGGTGAACAGAAGGAGGGGTTTTGAAAGACAACGTTGATTTTCTGTGCAGTGTCTGCTTGGAGTTTAATAGCAGTGGAGAAAGTGAATGAAGCCAGTCCGTGTTGACAAGGCTTCCAAATTAAATTAAATTAGTCTCACAAGGTCTGCAGGACTTATTTACAGCTGTCTCATTTGGCTCGGTACTTCTCTCAGTTGGGGATGGTTGTTTACAGCTCACTCACACAATTTCCGGTTAGCTTCTTAGCTTAGCCTCCTTCACAGTGAAGTGAATATAGCGCTCTCTGGACAACTGCAGTTTGGAGAAACAGAATTTAGTGCTAAGCTAACAACTAATCCAAGCTGTGGCTACTCCAAGTTCATTAATGCTTTTTAAAACAATTTCAATCCACTGCTCGTGCAGACAATAAAATTTTTACATTTTTGTCACGTTTCTATTACGCACATTTTAATTTTATAACACTTCTTCTAGAAATATCTAAAGCTGAACTTTTAATGTTTTTTTTATAATACTAGACCACTTATGGGTTCCTGTTTTACCCAGAAATTTACCAGTGACCCCATAGGCTGGTCCCAGTATAATTTTAAGCCCCGCCTCCTCAGTGTAAATGAACGGCAAATCTGCTCTTAACGAAGTAAATACACTCCAGATTTGTTTTTCCAGATGTTGACTTTCATTGGTTTATATTTGTATGATCAAATAACATTTTTAATTTGACTAACTGTAACTAGTGATTATGTGCGGGAAAATTAGGCGGGACTTAAATCCCCACAACCCTAATGCACAGACTCTGGTTCCAAAAATACAACATGTGGTCTGTTATTATAATATTTGTCGATGGGCTGCATCAGAAATGCTACAGCTAGCTGCTGTTATTTGAAATTGCAAATCAAAACACTTTTTTGAAATTGATGACAATATGAGTTTCAGTAAACTGCGATTGCGTGAAATATTTAAGTGTGTAGTTGTCATTACTGTCAGAAGTAAACTCTTTGTTTCTTCAAATTGGGGTTGTTTAAAGTGTTACCTACAAGAGGTAAGATATTAATTGTTCATCAGCTTTCTGAAGAATCGGAACTATCCCTTTAAACCAGAGGTGCCCAAAGTCGGGCCCGTGGGCCAAAATTGGCCCGCCGAGCCATTTGATTTGGCCCATCAGCAGTTGTCCTGGTTACTAGATTGTAATTATGTTAAGATTAAATTTAAAAAACAAGTAACTACAASAGACATTTAGATTAGATTTAATCCCATATTTAGATTTGCACACATTATTAAACCACATATACTCAAATTTTAAACTATGAAAAGTCCTATGAGCCTTTGCTGCCCGAGCATACGTTGAATTTTCTCCATTACATTAAAAAACCTAAAGAATGTGGGCAACCACACTGGCTGCTAGCTTAATCATAAAAAAAYAAAACAACTTTACTTAAGTATTTGCATTTCTTATATTATTGCATTTGGCCCGTGGCCCTCAGATTGATTTTAATTTTGGCCCTCTCAGAGAAAATGTTTGGGCACCTCTGCTTTAAACAAAGGCAAATTAATTGTGTTTCCTGAAGACATTTTCCTTTCAGCTTAGATTCTGTTAGATTCTCAAAGTAGAATCTGCACAGATAYAAAACTTTAAGACATTTTGTGACTCCTCTGTGTTTTGTGCGACGTTCAGCTGTTTCGTGTTGCACGTCGCCTCTCTGTCAGGCCATCCTTTCTCATTTTGAGCTCATTTTCTGCTGCGTTTCAGCTTATTTGGGCTGTTTTTCATCTTTTCTTGTTGTTTTGTGCCTCTCTCTCTCTCTCTCTCTCTCTCTTTTTAATTGGCGCAACAATAACTGTTTTTTTATTGAGGCCTAGGAAATCATATCACTATCGCTCACTATACAGAATGCTGAAAAACCCATTCAAAACGCTCGGCTCCCCACAGACGTGGATGGAAACTAAAATGAAAAGAAATGGTTATCGTTGTGGTTGACGACATTCGTGTGTTGGTGGTGTTTTTTCTTTTCTTTTTCTCATTTTTAGTTCTTCATCAGCAGTGTTTCTGAGAGGCGTTTAGGCAACGCACACGCACACACACAGGTTTTTCCACAGCAGAAGGAGGAAGCCTTGCAGCAAACCAGACTACCAATGCACATTCCCTGTTCTTCTCTCCCCTGCCTGCCTGCCTGCCTGCCTGTCTGCTCTCCTCTACCACCCCCTCTCTCCTCTCTCCGTCTATCTCACTCCAGCAGAAACACACTCTCTGCTGAGCGTGGGGGGATGGGCGCTCTCTCAAACATTCAACTAAACAAACAGGAGGGGAAGGCAAGAAAAAAGAAAAAGAAGAAGAAGAAAAAAGAAGAAGAAGAGGACTTTATCTCACAGATAGAAAACACACAAGGACAGTTTCAAAGTGTCCAAAACTGTTTGGTGGGAGGAAACAGAAATGAAGCTTTTTATGTGGCTCGACTGAAGCAGACAGTCATGACACACAGGGTGTGTGCACCGCATTGTGCAGGGGTGGAAGCAGAATGAAAAGTGTGTGTCTCTCTCTGTGTGTGTGTGTAAAGGAAATGTGAGGAAACAGAAGCTCCAATACTTCGATTGCTTATTGATTAAAATAAATAAAACAATAATAATTGGTATGTAAGTGGGACAAGAGTGCCTTTCGGTTTCTTTCCTCACCACGCGCACGCGCACACACACACAAAAACTGCTTCTTCTTTTTTTTTTTTTTTTCACCAACACACACATCTACCTCTAGGGGGCTTAAAGGAGGGAGACAGGAAGTACCAATGAGGAGGCATACTTGATCACATGTACAAACATCGAAACACAATTTAACATTCTGCCTGACACACCCCCCTGATGCACGCGCGCGCGCACACACAGAGGCAGGAAGCTGTCCACATGTAAATTACAGCCACACCACACAGGGTTAATGTGATTTCCCACAGCAGTATGAGCTCTGAAAGTGGACCGTGTTTTATTGTGCGTGTGTGTGTGCGTGCTGGTTAATAGGACGGTGAAACAGCAGTGAAAACCAGAGGAAGCSTTTAAAAAGCAGCATTTTTCAGACAGAAGAGAATATCTTCCATCCCAGAGAGCAGCACACAGAGCCAGTTGTGCAGAAACACAGATTTAATGTGGCTTCCTCTCCCCGCCTGACTTAATTTTTCTGCTCGGGCCGCCGGGAAAACTCGTTGCGGACTTTCGTGGATCTGGAGTGGGGAAGAAGGTGAGGGAACAAGCGCCACCTGCTGGTGAAGAGCGGAACTGACCTTGTTTTTACCTCACTGCGCCTCTGCTGCTCATGGCTCTGATTCACTCTCCTCTTCACTTTCTTTTAATATTTAAGCAGTTTTCTTGTCAACAAATGCTATGTGAGGTATATATTTCTGCAAAATATTGTACAGAAAAGATAAAATGCAGGTTCCTGGGTTTTTATCTCATTTTTTAAATGTAAAAACAGAGCTGTGGGGACGTGGTTCAGTTAGGGCAGGGGTCTGCCTCTTCTGCTCCTCGGCTCACTAATCAAATGTGCCCAGAGCCACAAAATTATGGAGGTAAATTAGTGTTTTTATTATTCAATCAAACAAAAAGCATCTTCAATCAAAAAAAAAAAAAATCAATCAAAAATATTTTTTAAAAAGCTTTTAAAAAGTGAATTTTGCATAACAGGTCTCTTTTAAGTCTCTGCAGTTAACCCAGAGGAGCCCACAGTGGGGCCCACGGGCCAAATTTGGCCCGCGGTCCCCACTTTGGGC